CTGGGTTGTTAGACTACAGCTGTCCTAAATTCAATTCAGTATGCCTTTATTAATCCCAAAGGCAGACTCTGTTTTGGTACAAGATCAAAGAACAAACTGGCTTTACATCTGGTTTATTCATATGTTTGTGCTTTGTAGAGCAGAAGACCAAATTACTGATAAGATCAAGTTTCCTTAAGGTAACCACCAAACTAAACTCAGCTTTACTGGGGACCAGTGTGGCTTTAAAGGTTATTTTACCTGTTTGGTTGCAGAAACCAATTCATCTTGACTTTTCCCTCTGATGCATTGAACCAGTTCTTCTGTTCTGGAGATGCCACACCCAGTAATGTTGGCAACAATCTGGCCAAAGACAGTAGATGAGCTTGTTAAATACAATGCATGTACAAGAAGATTAGAGTCAGACTGAGCTGCACATCATTGGCAACATAACGTACAGCAAACTGAACGAGGACTGGATGAAAGGGTTTGGACATTTCCAGATGGTCCTTAAAATTAGGTTGGTTTTCCACCAAGTTTCAGTCCAGCACCTAGACCTTGTGGTTTTCAGAGGCATATCTCTTTATTTAGTCATGAAACTTGGACCTGATGTAGTCATGTCTGCTTAAGGGAATATTTAAAAGCTACAGGACACACAAGGACGGAAGTTTAAGAGAATTTCCTTGATTATTTTTTTTCTTTGCCAGGGTCTCCTCCATGTGAGAAAAGCCTGTTGTGCCTCACAGTCATGAGATAAATATCACCATGAACTATACCAGAACATTGTAAGCAATGTTCCTTTTAGGACATTCTAAGAGTAGGAGGACATTGGACCCCCTGAAGGTTCATCCATGTAAAAACCTTGCTTAGAGTTTGACCAACTCTCTGTGCCCCGCGGCCAACGCAGGATCACATTGGGTAGGCAGTGCTGAATGATCGAAATACTGGCGACAGATGTCATTTCTCAAACTTTCATCTAAAGTCAAGTACAGTGTGCTTGCTAAGCAGCCAACAGCAACAGAAACAAGCTTTTGCATGTTTCTTTATCTGAGTTTCGCAAGACAAACTGAAACCAGGGACCTAGCAGAGACGGTGAGTGGAATTACCCTTAGCCTTCCACGATCTTCAAAGACAACCTCTCATCCATTCTACCAACAATCATTATAAACACTAATACCAATCACCTCCATCTTTTGAAGGGTTCCTAACCTTTTATTTCCCTGTGATACTAAAATGACATTAAAAGCCAGCTATCTAAACAGCTACTGGTTTCTGATTTGGCAAATCAGGTCTGGCAGAGAGACGCTGTGGCCATAGATGCTGTAGTAGAACACATATTAATGCATTCCTGATATTCCAGCTGGGTCATTACTAGGAACTGATGTTTGTTTTAATTGTTTCTTAAAGATCTCACACTGCCCATAATGATTGATGGAAGACACAGCTTGGATTCCTGCTGCTCTCTCTTCTCTTTGCTTCTGATACCTTTTTTGCCTTTAAGTCAGCTGGTATTTCTTAAAGTAGTTAAGGTATTAATTTAGCTTTAGAGATGTTAATGAGCTGCTCTCAGTTGGAAAAAAAACAATTTGCTATTACTGCTATGGTTACGCATCAAAATATTTCAGCTGCAAAGTATATAACACCAGAGAAAAGATACTTTGATGCACAAATGGAGGAAATTAAGTTCTTTTAGAAAAGAATATTAGAATCAAACTACTCTACTACTACTCTAACCTGCAGCTACCTTCAGCAACGCAACTCTAGATATTTGTTATTAGATTTTTTTCACATGTATGAATGTGAACTGGATTGATCTCATTTCAATTGTTTTTGATTAGTTTTAAAATGAATTGAACCTCATTTCAATTTGTTCAAGATAAATCATCAGATCATTTTATTGTTGATGGTTTTCAAGCATTTTCATTTGTTCATTTTCCCTCTAGTTGCTGTTGAGTTGAGTTGTGTTTCCCCAACTTAGTTAAAAGGTTTTTACTGAAATGTGTTAAACCTAAAGTTGATATTTGGATAAAAACATTTCCATATGTTTGCAGCACACAAGGGTGCACCACTTAGAAATGTGTTTACAGGACAAAATATGACAGACCAAAAGTCGTTTGATTACATTCTAAATTACTTTCAAGCATACAAGTCCAGAACATGCAGATAGTAATCTAAAAGGAAGGAATCAAAGAGATATTCTGATAAGATAAACTATGCCAGTAGCAAATGCAAACAATAAATGACTTATTTCCATACTTGGGCCTGAGGAAGAGGTTGCTCAGAAGTATAGGACCCAACGGTAGCCACCCCACTTTGAAAAATAGCCTTGTGGAAGAGTCCTTTCGCCTGTGGAGACAGAGTCTTTGCAGAAAGACATTGTGCTGGTGAGGTTTTCAGTGGAGAAATGGTGTAATATCAAACCTAAACAGTTTAAATAATATTTAGACATTTAAAAAATGCACAATCTCCTCTATTTCCCAAAATTGAAACCTTCTTTACCAGTATGGATGCACTGATGCCTCCTGCAGACTCCCCAGCGACTGTGACAGAGTGTGGATCTCCACCGAAGGCCTCAATGTTTTCTTGCACCCACCTGAGAGCAGCCAGCTGATCCAACAAACCCCAGTTTCCCCTGGCGTGTTCATCCCCAGTGCTGCAAAACAATGAAAGCTCTGGTTTTGGGCAATCATTTGGACAACATATGAGCTCTAGAACTTTCTTACCTCAGGAATCCCAGGATGCCGAGGCGGTATTGGATAATGACTGTCACAATGTTTTCATATGCAGCTAATGAAGAACCATCATATTGGGAGGCAGAGCCCATCGTCAGACCCCCCCCATGGATCCACACCATAACCTGCATCACAACACAAGAGCCTAATGGCTTTAACTACCTTTTCCAACAGGAAGTACAGTTTATACCAGTATGAAGAGGAGCACAGCCTCGGACCAGACTTGGGTTGATATCTATATTTACACATCGCCTGAGCTCAGTAATGTCATCGTAGTATCAGCTTTAAAGGAATAGTACACCCAAAACATGATTAGCCTTCATTTTCTACTCACCCCCATGCTGAACAACACTCTG